GGCTCCTGTGCAAACACGGGAAAACTGTCAGGCTGCAGAGGGGACTTGGGTCCGGGCAGCCAAGGAGCAGAAGGAACAGGCTGCCAAGGCAGTCCACTTACAGTGACAGGGGGTAACACAGGCAGGGTTGTCTTCCTGGGGGGGATGGAAGGGCTCCTAGGACCCAAGTGGATCTGGTTACACATGGAAGAGGAGGGAGGAAAGGGACGACATGGGGCCCAGCTCTGCTGCCCCTCGCTCCCAGGTGGGGCCTCCCAGCTCATTTGCTGACTTCCCTGGTGGGAGCAGGCTCCCCACCTGCTGCTTTGTCAGTCTCGTGTGGCCTTAGGAAGCTGTTGGTGCAGAAGCACCTGGAAGTGCCCCCAGAATTTGTATTGTAATAGTGAGCTCCCTAGCACCTTCCTGCCTCCTCCTGCCTAGTTCTCCCTGCTCCCAGATCTGAGGACACGGAGCTGAGTTCCATCCCACTAGAGATCTCCTGGGTCTTGGAAGCTCCTCCCTTTTCTTACAGCATTTCCGGCAATGCCCCTTGCACCCAGGTGCCACCACAGTGTCCCTTAGGGAAAAGAAAAGGCCAATCAGAGGTCAGAGTGAGGTAGACTGGAGTGGAGACCCCCAGGCACTCCCTCCAGCATGTGGGGACAGCTCACAGAGAAAGGAGGGAGGGGTCCCTTGCAGAGCTCTCTGTCCCCAGTCTTCCAGCGAGGAGATCTCTGTGATCCTCGAGGCGCCTTTGTTTCGCTCTGAGCACAGTACCCAGGCTGCAGCACATGGGACAATGCTCCTGCTGGAGTGTGTCCAGGTCCCCGCATCCTGCAGGCTGCCCTTCATGCTCTGCCCAGCCTCCTTCCTGTTCCCACCCATCCTGATTCGCAGGCCTCGCCATCCCAGCCTTCTGTGGGCAGCGCCTCTTTCCCGCTGATTCCATGTGCCTTCTGAGCCAGCTTGGCCCGCTTGCCTGCTCCTTGGATGCTGGGACCTGGCCTCTGCTTCCCGTCACCCCAACCATCATTGTCTGCAGTTCCCCCTCCCTCCCCGGCTTCCCAGACTAGGGCTCTGCAGCTCCTGCTGTCTGCCACCTCTCTGAGGTCAGCTGGTCAGGACTTCCTGCTGTTCTGGGAGTTGTGGGTAGAACAAACATGGACCTGTCCTTGCTCTCTGCCTCCCACCGGGCACACCAGGAGCATCGAGGCCTCTCCACTCCAGACTCCCTCACCCTGACATCTGCTTGGCTTTTTCTTCTCCGAAGATTGTGGTGGCACCCGGCTGCAAGGAGCATTACTGAAAAGATGCGCTGCTGCTCCACACAGTCACCAGGAAGGATGGAACTGGCCTCTGGATCCCAGAATGCCAGCATTCCTCACCCTGAACCCCAACCCAGCTGTTGTCCTGCAGGGTCAGGAGACACGAGAGTTGAGGCCACCTCCCAGTTCAGCTTACTGGGCTTTGCAAATTGCCTGTTTGGCTTGGACTTGGCATCAAAACCATGAAGGGTTTCAAGAAAGGTGTAGACCTGGTCTGCCCCAGCACAGGAGCACCAGCACCTAGTAGGTGCTCAGCAGCTGCTTGTCAGGTGACTAGTGGATGAATGATCAGATAGTGCCTAAGGCACAGTGAATTAATGTTAGAAGCCTGGTGACAACGGTGCTGGTTAGGAGGGGCAGGAGAGAGTCCAACCCATTCTTCTGTACTTATACTGTCTATGCCCAGAAGTTGGATGGATGAGTGCTTAGAAGTCTGGGTTGAGGCTCAGAGGTGGTAGGCAGGACCAAGGCAGTTCCTGCCTGCTGCCCTGCCCAGCTGTGGGCATCTGAGGTGGGGGGCAGGGGAGGAGCCCCTGGGCAGGCTGCTGAGAATGAGGGAAGGAACCCAGCCAGGCCCCTCCTCCCCCCTTGCCAGCCTTGGCGCACTTCGCTTTAGTCATGCTTGGCTTCTTGGAGCCCAGCCCGGTGGGGCTGGCCTCCGTGCCAGCTCTGCAGACCTCAGGCCCCTGGAGTGCCAGGTGGAGCCACCTGCCTCGGTCGACCTGAGAGGGAGTTGCAGGTGCTTCCCAGGCCCCTGAGACCCAGCACGGTGCACTGAGTGAAGTAGCAGGCAAGTGGGGTGGTTGCTGCTGATATAGCACCCTTTGGGGGCAGCCTATGAGTGGAACTCAGGTCAAGCAGGAGCTGGCACGCTGGCTGCCTGGGTGGTAGGAGGGGCGTCTGGGATAGGACCAAAACTGTCTTCTTGCTGCCAGGCTCACTCCCATCACCACAGCAGCCTTCCCCACCCGGCCACTCCATCTTAGACTGCTTGAGCCCCACCCAGCCAGCACACAAGCCACGGACAGCCACCTCAGATCTGGGCATAGCGGGCCCTGCTTGGACTGGTGGCTGAGTCTGTCCTGGTCATAATCCCCACCTGCATGTGTATGGCCTGTGTGTCTTCCCAGTTCTCTGAAGGCCCCTGGACTCCCTCTTTGGCTGCAGATGCCTTTGAACAATGTTTGCCCTGACTAGCTCCTGTTGCTGGGTGCTGATAGGAAAGCCCGCCTCGGACAGCTTTTCGCTGCGGGGCTGCCTGAGCCCTTGGGCCTGTGCTCCCAGCTGCTCAGCCACGGACGGGTGGGCTCTGGTTGTAGGAATGCAGCCTGGCCGTGCAGGTGGGTAAAGACCACTCTGTAACACATCACGCCTGCTCCCCCGCAAGCCAGCCCTGCCACTAGGTCGGCCTTTCTTCCCTCTAGAGAAATCTACTCACTAGAGTGAGGAAGACAGGGCCAGGCTAGACTAGCACAGCCAGGGACCTCAGAGACCAGCCCCAGATCTCCTGTGGTGTATGACGTGGCCAGCACCCAGGCTGAGTGAGGGCTGGGAGGGGCAGGGCAGGCGGCAGGCAGCACCATCTGCGGCCTTCTTTGTGCTGGCAACCAGGCGTCCCTGTACAATCGGGCGGGCCTCGTGTCTGGCGTGCAAATGAGTTCACAGATGCCCGGTGCCCCCTCACGAGAAGCCTAACGAGGGGCCTGGAGAAGACGGGAGCGGTCTGGAGGTGCGTTACGTGCAGCACCAGCCTCTGAGCAGGCTGTGCCCCACCAGCCACGGTAGATGTATGCTGGGCACCTGCTGTAGGAGCCTTCACCAGTTCCTGGGCAGACACATGAGGAGCAGGGGCACCTGTTTTCTCTTATGCCCACCTTCCTCTGGAGTGGCAGCTAGGTGACCCTACAGAGAAGGGCAGGATGCAGCCTTTAGGGCCACCCACCCGCTGCCTGCACACAGTGAGAAACACTGCCCTCTCCTGGCCTGCAGCCCCCTCTCACCTCTTTTGTTGGGCATCTCTAGGGGAGGGGTTGAGGGCGGTTCAGGCTGGCCTCCAACTTGTAGCAGTCCTCCTGCCTCAGCTTTCCCTAGTGCTGGGATTAGACATGCATCACCAGGCCCGACTGTGGTTGGGCATCTTTGTGCACCACCCAGAGCTGAGCCAGTGCACACAGAGGCCCTGAAGAGACTTCTTGGGGCTCTAGACTGATGAGGGATGGCATCTAGGATCTGAGTGGTCGCCGTGAGCTTTGGCATCTGACTCCAGGGCTGGCTGAGTGCAGTGAAGGTGTGAATGGGGGATCCTTGCTAAATCCAAGGAGGTGGGAGATCATGACCACTTGGGGGGTTGCCTGCTGAAGGTTTCCCCCAGGCCAGGGCAGCATCCCTGTCTCTGCCACTCTGAGGCTGTGGTTGTATGAGTGCATGTCTCCCTTGCCCGAGCCTCAGTCTGCCTGTCTATAGAATGGAGCTATAACAGTGAATGCCTGGGATTGTGCCAGGCGGGGTAAGGGTAAGGAGAGCTGAAAATGAGGGCTCAGCTTTGCACCCAGCAGAAGGTTATGTAGAGGTCCGCTGGCAGGCCAACTACTGCCCAAGCCCCTGGGTCCATGTAGCCGAAGTATTCACAGCAAGAGTGGGGAACAAAGCAGGACCTTTCAACGGAGGCCCAAAGAGGGTGTGCAAGGTCCTTACAATCCCATGGTGGGGCTCCAACACACCTTGCCGTCCCAGTTCCCTCCCCAGCCTCAGCACCGTCGTACACTCGGGAAGGCTGGGCCACACTGGGACAGTGAAGGGTGGCAGTGTCAACTGACATTTCCCCAGCATCAGTTCACTCCGGGCTCACCCCCTGCCCTTGCAAAGCGGGGCCTTGGTCCCTCGGTCCTCTGGGTCCTCTGCTCTGCTCTCCTCCCCAGCATCTGGGCCTCACCCTGCAGAGCCCAGTAATGGGTGGGGCCAGAAGGTGCCTGCCTAGGGGCCCATGCTTATGGGGTGATGGCTGGGCAGCTGTCACAAGGAGAGGCCTACACACCCTGGATTGCCTCCAGCTCCAGGACGGCCATAGATTTTGTCCAGACTTTAATTTAGTTTATCTTTTTTCTTCTGCTGCTGGAGATTAAACTCATGGCCTTTGCACTGAGTTTATTTTGAGAAAAAGTCTTTCATTAAATTGCCCAGGCCAGACTCCTGCCTCAGCCTCCCAGAGTGCTGGGATTATGAGCATGCTCACTATGCCTGGCTAGACCATAAGGTTTTTGACCAAACCCTTGAGGAAAAGCCCGGTTGAGCAAACTTTTAAGAGCCAGAGGGCAGGCTCTGTTCCATCTGGGGTGGCAGCAGTGCCTCTCTGTGCCTGTCACAGGGCAGTGTGCCCTCCTGGCTCCCTCGGCTTCCCTCTTCGACATTGTCTGCACTCTGCTGTCCTTCTGCAGCCCCTACTCATACTTCTCAGCGTGGTGACCATCCAAACAGGCCTTGGCCCATGATCAGAGTTCCTCTTCCTTCCCGGCTGTAGTCCCATCCTGCAGTCTGAACACTAAGGTTCCCCAAGAAGGCCTAGTGAGTCTCCTGGGGTCCCCTGAATCTGGGGTCTAAGCTGGCAGCAAGGGTACCTCACAAGGGGAGGGTGTCAGGGGCTGAGCGTGGCAGGACACATTCTCCACAGTGCCACTGATGTCGTGTCCTTCCTTACAGCGCTGCTGTCCTCCTGGTGTGAGGAACTCGGCCGCCTGCTGCTGCTCCGACATCAGAAGAGCCGCCAGAGCGACCCCCCTGGGAAGCTCCCCATGCAGCCCCCCCTCAACTCCATGAGCTCCATGAAACCCACTCTGTCGCACAGGTGAGTGGGCGTGTGTCACCGTGGGTGGGCAGGGCCAGGCGCCTGGGAGGAGATAGCTCTGCATGCCAGAGCTGCGGCCCCGAGTGTCCCGAGTCATGGTAGATGTGCTAGAAGTCCTCGAGGTGTAAGCCAGTCTTCTGCCGCCAAAGCAAGTTGAGAGCCTGCATGTCTGCCCAACTGCTGTCTTCCCTGGCGGGCTCTTGGGTCTCTGGTTCTAGGCTTCTGGGGGAGCAGAAGTCCTGACGGAGTTCCCTCTTTGCTGAGCAGGGTCTCAGGCATGCTCACAGGAGCAGGGCCAAGTAGAGCTCAGGAAAGCCACAGGGCCGGTAGCTCCCCCAAGTGGTTACAGCTCCCACCCAGGCCCATCGCTCGGAGCCAAGTGAGGCTGGGCCTGGTCTGCCAGAGGCCACTGGGCCCTGAGAAATTGTTTGGTGTCCCTGTGCCTGCCCCCAGGAAGCACATGGCCAGAGCTGGCAATTCCCCTGGTTAATTATCCCCTGGTCGCAGCATTCAGCTCTCTGTCAAAGTGCGACACAGGCTTACCCAGGAATGCCAGGGCCTGTCTGTTGCCTGCCCTCCCAGTCCTGCTCCCCACTAAGGACCAGGAGGAGCATTTGCAGTTGGGGCTTAGCTCGTGGAGGGACCCACATCCCCACGCTCACTGCAGTCAGCCGAGGCTGTACCAACGAGCCACTGTGGTACTGAGGAGCCAGCCATGCTTTATAAATAGAAGCTGGTTGACTCCTGGGACTGGGAAGGACCTCGGCCCTCCAGGCTGCTTCCTGCCAGGACAGGATTGCCTTCACACACACACACACACACACACACACACACACACGCACAGAGGGTTGCTGTCCTGATGGACCCTAGGTCTAGTGGTTGACAGCAAAGCTGTCGCTCTGTGTGCCAGTTTGGCTCAAGCCCTGGCATTTGGCCAGCTGGACTGCTTTCGTGGTACAAGATTTTACAGGGCATGTAAGTCCTTGCCTTCTTGATTTTTTTCTAGTATCCAGCCCTCCCCACCTCAGAATTTTGGGGAGTGGGACCATCCCCCTTGGTTGGGAACCGTTGCTCAAGACAGACAGGGCCTCCGCCTCTGGCCTGTAGTCCCTCCCCGGTCAGCCAAAGGCTGCAGGTCGCCCCGTCAGAGCTGGCTGCGGAGCACAGGCCGCAGCTGAATGGTGTTTTAAGCATGGACTGGGTATTGTGCTTCTGACACCAAGCTTAGTGGTTCTGACCTGCCGCCGCCAGAGTCATCCTGGCTGTCATCCACTGCGGGCTCCGTCCTCCCCGGCTTCCTCCTCCCAGTCAGTTCAGCTGAGCTGGTGATGGGCCAGAGCCCCACCGCTCCCAACTGGCACGTGGCTTGACTGTGGTGGCTCAGCTGCGGAGTGCACACATCTGGACCATGGGCAGCTCTTTCCTGGGCCTTTGCCGAGATCCAGTGGTGGGAGATTTCTGGGTCCTGGAGTAAAGCAGGAAGAAGTCTCTGTAGGAAGTGAATCTCGCCATCAGAGAAATCAGGCTCAAGGGGCAGAGTCAGGTAGTAGCAGGAGAGCAAGGCAGTATTGGACTGAGGTGAGAGGCTGCGTTCAGTGCTCAGTGGTGCAGTGTACTTGGCGGTGGTCTCTGAGGAAGGGAGCTGGGTGGGCTGGGAGACTTTCTCGGTGACCCCGGACTCCACTGAGCACCGAGAGACAAGGGCCTTCTGGATGGCAGCCCCTCTCGTGGTGGCTGGGTGCAGTGAGAGAGTGACTGGCCCGAGAACACAGAGCCAGCAGAAGGCCGGGCGTAGCATGGCGCGAGCACCCTGCTCTGCCGGTCAGACCTCAGTCAAGGGGTCCTTGTCGTACCATGAACCTGGTTTGAAGTGGCTTGTTGGAGAATTTCACCCTGAGTCTGCAGTGTACTGTTGCCTACTGATAGGGACATTTAGGGGCGATCTGTCATTAGCACCCTGCCCATTCTCCATGTCCAGGGCTCCTCCGAGGACGCATGGTGGCCCGTGGTTAGGAGTCAGCTGGTCCCAGAACCTAATGAATGTCCCTGGGGTAGAAACCTTACTCCCTCCCAAGGACCCCAGCAGGGCCATCACCTTTAAGACCCCGGTATAATTTCCACAATGTGAAGGAAAGACATGGAAGGGAAAGCTGGGCACTGTCACACTTAGGAGACTGTCACTATGGTCTTTCGGCTTCATATTAAGGTGGGGCCAGGGAGCAGACTGGCTGTGTAAAGACCTAAGAGGAGAGGGAGCCAGGGAGCCCTGAAAATCAAAGGCCCACCCCAACCCTAGACCTGGAGGGTCTTCAGTGACTATAGCGTCCCATAGTGCTACAGTCACTGTCACAACTGCAAGCACAGCAGGAGGCTGAGTGAGGTGTATTCTTCCACCCAGAGCCACGCCGCCAAGCCAGGCCCTTGATCTCTCTGAGCATTGCAGTTCCCGGTGTAGGGAAGGTGATGGAGGACCACAGGGAGGACTGTACAAGTGACTGTGCTGTAGGGATCATACATCGTCAGGGTCCTCCTGCGATGTCCTCTGCCATAGCAGAGATTTCTACTATGCAGTTGAGACCAGAGAGCGCTGTGAGGTCCTGGCCACTGGCCATCAACTGTCCCTGCAGTGACCTGAACTGGGTGTCAACAACTCTTGCTGCCTCCCACTCCCAGTTAAAAAGTCCTGTGTGATTAGCGCATTGTCCATATGCAAATCAGCATCACAAAGGTAATTAGGAGCCTAATAAATCTCATTTATGCTATTAATTTGATTACAATCAAAGCCTGCTGGAGCTTGGAAAGGCTTGGGATAAGGGGTGCCACCTTCCTCCTCCAGGTGTAGGGTATAGGTGCCCAGAGGGAACGATCCCCAGGGTGCAGCAGTGGGGGCATAGCCCTGAAATTGCAGCCCTGGCCTCTTCTAGCTGGATGTTCCTCACTGTCCCTGTCTATAGAAGGGGACTGTCAGAAGTGGCAGAGTTTATGTGCCTGGCACCACGCCTGGCACACGGACTAGCCCTTGTGCCCTGAGCCTGCTGGTGGCACCCAACCTGGCATGCTCCCTGGCCAGCCACCCCAGAGGTGTCCTTCAGAGCCCTGTCTCCCGCTCTCTGGCTTTGTCACATCATCTTCCCAGTTCTCAGGGACTCCAGCTCTCATTTGCACAGCTAAAGCAAAGCTCATTCTATTGTAGGCCCTTCAGACCCCCTAGAAAAAAATCTTTAAAGCACAGAAAGGAGAATGGAGAGACACAGGTCACATGGCTGCCAAGAGACAAAGCCAGGGCGCTTCCTGTTCTCATCCTATAGGAAAAATGAGTGCAAAGAGTGCCGAAGGAAGTGTGGAAATGCCCCTGTGGCTTGGCTTAAAGAAAAGTCACGAAAGGGAACATGCAGGCCTGGCTTTGAGCTTCAGCTGGGGGTTCGCTGGCTAGAGAAGGGTAGGTGGAAGAGCACCCGAGAAACTCTCTGCGGCTTAGGTTCTTCTCTGTTGGTTCTGTTGGCAGGCAGGAAGGCTACCCGGCCTTCCACTGGTGGCATATTTACAGAACTTCAAAGTAAACGGGTGGCCAGGGGGAGGTGGGGCGTTGCCAAGGCTGACAGGGGAGGTCTGCAGCGCGAGGAGCCTTCAAGGCCACAGCAGATGAGTCACGCACGGCCCCGGCAGGCCAGCTGCCACTTCTGCTTCTTCAGCAGGTGCTCGAGGGGGCCTGAAGCCACCTTGCCGCACACACTGTCCCCTCCGGGCCTAAGCGCTGCACGCGCTGCTGCCACCATACACCTCAGCTTTGGGGAGCAAGGCTTCCGGCAAGCAGTGGTTCCCGCTTTGGAAATGCCACGGCCCTCTGCTTCTCATCAAGTTGGGTATGGAGTGAGTGAAACAGGAAGGGGCCAGTTTCTGCCCTTAAGGCCCACACATGGAGGGGAGGGGTAGGAGGGTGTCCAGACAGTATCCGCACAAGGTGGTAGGACATCAGTGGCTCTGGCTCCCAGGAGGGCAACTTCCGGAGCCTGGCCAGGCTCCATCTCAAAGAACAGGAGCATCTGTTTATACTGGATGTCAGCCTAAAAGGCTGTGGGAGCTGCAGGGCAGGACTCGTGGGGAGGACCGGCGCAGAGCCAGCCTGCAGGCCCAGGGCCATCCCGGCTCAGCCACCTACCAGGGGGACAGAGGTGGTCATGGCCCAGTCTCTGATGCACCTTCACTTGCAGCTCACTCTACTCTTCCCAGGCTCCTGGTCCCCAATCTGCCACCCTGGGTAGTGACCAGTTGCTCTGTACCAACGCCGACATGGAGGGACCACCCCACGCTGACCACTTGGTGCTGGAGTTCCTCCTTTCCCCTTGTGCTGGCCCGGCGCCTCGACAGAGCCCGGCCGCAGCCTGGGGAGTGGTGGTGCCACCCTTATGTCCACTTTACAGGTGGAGAAGCCAAGTGCAGGCCTGCTCCAGGGCCCTGAGCTAATGAGGGCACGTCCAGGATCTGTGCTCCGTGGCAGCTGCTTGGCAGGGCCAGAGCGGAATGTGGCAGGGTTGCTGTGGGAGCCCTGAGGAGGCAGATAGCAGAAGCCCCAGCGCGTAGCTCTGTGGCCTGAGTTGGCAGTGTGCCTCCCGGAATGCAGGTCTTGGGGCCAGGACCTGGCAGCTCTGGGATCCCCTGCACTTGTGGATACCCTGGACCAACGCAGGGGCTACGCTGCACAAAGTCCCTGCTTCTGGGACTTCGGGATGATCAGATACCAATCAAGCAGTTCCAGTGGTGGCGAGCGCTGCCAGGCAAATCTCAGAGCCAGCTGAGCGAGCACAGGGGGTGTGGGCGGAGTAAAGCTGCTCCTGTACACTGTGGGCCAGGCAGCTGCTGACCTCTGAGCTAAGGCAGAAAGGAAGTAGGTAGGCAGGGCTCGTAGAAGCGGTCTAGGGACAGAGGCATCTGGGTGAGGAAGGGGCAGATACCCATGATGGGGCCATGGCCGCCCTTCTGGGGGGGCCAGCAGTGTCCCAGGCAGTGACTCACTGGCTTAGTTCCATCTCCCCACCCATCACGCAAGACCCCGCCTCCCTCCCAAAATCCCCACTCAGGTCCTCAGTGTGTGTGGCCCAGGCACCCTGGCCTCAGGACTTGCAGCCTCTCTGATGAGGACAGAGGCCCCTCACTCCCAGTCAGCCTCCTGTGCACCTTGTGGGGCCTCACACACATCAGGGCGCCCACAGCATGGCTCCCCCTGGGCCCATGTCTTCCATTCAGTAAGCTCACCCAAGGGTGGCACAGGAATTGGGGCAGCCTGAGCTCAGCGCTTGGGGGCTGGTACCCACCCAAACCTTGAGGCTACTCAGAAGGCCCACTGAACACTCGCTGTAGGCCTAAAGGCGGGGCTTGCAGAGGTGCCATCCCTGCTCCTGATGGGATGTCACCAAGCCTGGGGGGCACTGGTGGGCTGGGGGCAGGAGTGGAGAGCCCAAGCTGTAATTGGTGGAGAGGGGGCAGGTGTCCAGGGGCAGCTACAAGATGATGGAGCAGAAGCAGCACTCGGCTGGGGCAGGGTGGAGCGCGCTGTTACTCTATAGTGTGTGCTCGGGCTCTGCCTGCTAAGCACCGGAAGCGACTGGAGGACCTGGACTATGCAGAGGGCTCAGGTGTTTGAGAGGGACTCACCTGGCAGAGATGTGCTCAGGAGATAGGTGGGGGCATGTATGCCTGCCCCTGTGTTGTCAGGGTCAGAAAGAAGGTGGACAGAAAGAGCCTGTCTGTATTCCAAGGCTGGGCAGTGGGGCTCCAGGGCCAGCCAGCTGTGAGCAGGTGGAAGGACAGGAACAGCTGAGACTCAGACCCTGGCCCTTCCTATTTCACTGAGTGAGGGTGGAACAGTCCCCAGGGAGAGGAGTGCCTCTTGGAGTCTGAGGATGTTTGAGGAAGGGGCTCAAATTGAAGCCCTGGTCCTGCCAGCGCCCCCTTGCCTGGCCTGTGGGTCAGGATGGGGCAGGCAGCCACTGGTGGCCCTGCAGGGATGGGGGAGCCAGTGACTTCTGCACACCTGTCACCATGCAGGACACACCTGTTCCACTGCAGGCAGCCCGACCACCCTGGGGCCCAGAACTGCCTGGGGTTGGGGACACCAGGGCTGGCTGGAAACAGCGGCGGTGTGGTGAGGCCCAGGCTGTCAGCCATCCGAGCCCTGCCAGCGGCCCCTGACCCTCTACCTCTGTCTCCTCTACAGTGATGGGTCATTCCCCTATGACTCTGTCCCCTGGCAGCAGAACACCAACCAGCCTCCCGGCTCCCTGTCCGTGGTCACCACAGTGTGGGGAGTGACCAACACATCCCAGAGCCAGGTAAGAGCCAGCTCCACCCAGCCACAGCCCTTCTGGAGAGGAGATCCCTTGCCCCCTCAGGCCTGAGGGTTACTGTCCAGCTGGGAGACCCGCTTTCAGGGCACCCCAGCTACAGAGACATGTGCACCCCAGAAAGGGCCACACCAACCTTGGGAGGGCCGCAGCTGGGCCCCTGTGGACTGTGCCCCTCCTAGAACCTTCACCAAGGCTGTGACCTGACAGTTGGCAGGTTTCGTCCTAAGCGATGTTTATTCTGGCTACAGAAGCAGAACTTCCTGTGTGAGTTTTGGCCTCAGGGCTCAGTCTCTAGCCTGGGTTAGATTTCAGCCTAATGCTGTGACTTACCTTGGTGACAGCCCTGACACCCCCGGCCTCCTCCATCCTGTTGCTCCTTTCCTCTCATCCACACGGGCCCCTGACAGGAGGTCTCCCGCCTGCTGGATGGCCACATGGAAGGCCCAGGGCCGACTGCTACCTTGGAAAGGCCATTGTGTGTCCCTCTAGAATCAGGCTACCGGGTTCCTGGGATCAAGATCTTCTGCCCCGAGAGCAGCAGCCCAGGGCTTCTGTGTGGCCATGCTCTACCACAGGGGAGTGGCTCAGCCCTGCTACCAGGACAACCCTCTTCCCTCTCAGAAGCTGCCCGGCCCTGGGGAGCACAGGGGCTGGCCCATGGCCCTTGCTCCTGTCCTCCCCTCATCCCACTCTGGCGGAAGCTCTCAGGCTCCATGTAGCCCATGTCCCAGCCTGCCCCTGGGAACCCCGCACACCAGGAACAGTTCACATCCCCTCCTTGCCCCTCTGTAGCCCTTCCCTTCTCCACCCTTCCCCGTATCTCCACCCTTCCCCATATCTCCACTCCACCCTGGGTCCCCGCTAGGCTGACAGCCGCTCTCTCTGCTCACAGGTCCTCGGGAACCCTATGGCCAATGCCAACAACCCTATGAATCCAGGCGGCAACCCCATGGCGTCGGGCATGACCACCAGCAACCCCGGCCTCAACTCCCCGCAGTTCGCTGGGCAGCAGCAGCAGTTCTCGGCCAAGGCTGGCCCAGCGCAGCCCTACATCCAGCAGGGCATGTATGGTCGGCCCAACTACCCCGGCAGCGGGGGCTTCGGGGCCAGGTGAGCGGCCTCGGTGCAGGTGGGCTCCAGCTTAAGCCGCAGCTCCCTGCCTCCTGCCTGAGAAGTGAGGGCCAGTGCTGCCACTGTCACCTGGGTTGTCCTGTCAGCACTCAGGTTGTTGTGAGAGTGTAGGGCCTGCAGCGGGAGCAGGGCCACGAGGGTCTCACTGCTCCCAGTGACCTCTGCCTATCAACTAGAAGACCTGGGGGCTGGGAAGAGATCGCTGGAGGCAGCAGCCTAGGCAAAGCCCTGTGCCCTGCTGGTGCCTGTGGGGAGAATGAGGCAGAGGCTAGATGCCCCCAGCTCTGGAAGAAGAGACAGGGAAGCCCAGGGAGGAGCTCAGGGGACATGAGACAGGGCAGATGCAGGTGGGGGTCGCTGCTGGCCTTTTTGCTCCTTCATCTGGAGGAGGCTGCTCCCAGGTTGCGCATCAGAGTCTGAAGTCCCTTCCTCCTCTCCCGCAGCTATCCTGGGGGCCCGAATGCGCCCGCGGGCATGGGCATCCCTCCACACACCCGGCCACCCGCCGACTTCACTCAGCCTGCGGCTGCTGCTGCAGCAGCTGCAGTGGCAGCAGCAGCAGCCACAGCAACTGCCACAGCCACGGCCACCGTGGCAGCCCTACAGGAGACGCAGAACAAGGACATAAACCAGTATGGACCGGTAAGGGTCCCTGTGTCCCAGTCCAGCCTCAACAGGCACCAGCCTAGGGGAGGAGCAGGTCAAGTTGGGGCCACAGGCATCTGTGGGAGACGTGGAGACAGTGGGCGTGGTCGGTGCTATGCTCCACATGGTCCAGTGGTTCGTGTGTCTACATATAGGGATAAAGGCAGGTATGGCTCCGTGGCCCTCCTACTCACCTGAGAGTGGGCCCCAGGTCTAAAGATAGCCCTGTTGCCTGGCTTAGGGCACACACCTGTAATCCCAGCATATGGGAGCCTAAGGCAGGAGGAACACCAAGTTCGAGGCCGGTCTGAGCTATGTAGTGATTTCAAATCCTGCCTGGACTAGGGATTTCAAATCCCTGCCTCCCCCTGGAAAAAAAAAAAAGATGAAGTAGAAGACATTATCCCATCTGTGGGTTCTTCCCAGACCCCCGTGCAGCTCCCCACAGAAGGGTTGGGTGGGGTATGAGGAGAAGGGGCCCCCACAGCCATGCAAGACAGGGGCGTGGGGCCCTATCGCAGGTAGGCACAAGGGAAAGGGCTGGGCACAGGGTGTCTCTGCTGGTTGACCACGAGGGCAGGGCCAGGGCTCTAGAGAAAGCGGCTTCAGCCTCCATCCTCATCCCCCTCCACCTCCAGTGTGCCTCACCCCTTCCTGTCCCCTGCCTGCCACCCTGGAAATGCTGCCTGTGCATTGGAGTGACTGCACCCCGCCCGCCCGTGTTAACACCCCCCTGGCTGCACCTTTCCCGTGTGGCCGGCAGAGGGCAGCAGCGAGCCCAAGAGGAGGTCGGCCTGGGCCCCCCTGCAGCCACACGAGAAAGTGCCCCCTCCCTTCCGCCCCCACCCTTCCCTCCCTGCACTTTCAATGCATGTGGCATTTTATTCTTTTTTTTTCTTCTTCTTCTCCCGTTGAAGGTCTGTTCCTCTTTCCAGATGGGTCCCACCCAGGCGTATAACAGCCAATTCATCAACCAGCCCGGGCCGAGGGGGCCTGCCTCCATGGGGGGCAGCATGAACCCTGCCAACATGGCGGCTGGCATGACGCCCTCGGGGATGAGCGGCCCTCCCATGGGCATGAACCAGCCCCGGCCGCCTGGCATCAGCCCCTTTGGCACCCACGGGCAGCGGATGCCCCAGCAGACGTACCCGGGCCCCCGGCCCCAGTCCCTTCCTATCCAGAGCATAAAGAGGCCATACCCAGGAGAGGTGAGTGGGAGAGGCAGGTGTGGGGGCAGGGCGGCCTGGAGTGACCCCTGGAAAACCCGGATCAGAAGGCCAGGCCTAGCTCTGCCCTCACCCGCGCCGGGTATGGAAACCATTGCTAACTCGGTGCCATTGAGTGAGGACCGTCTCACACTGAGTCTTCCCCAGCTGCCCTGCGAGAGCAGCTAAGCCAGGTTCAGTGGCAAACGCCTGTAGCCCCAGTGCCCTGGCAAGCTTGAATGAGGAGGTTCAAGCCCAAGCTCAGCAACCTAGTGAGACCCTGCCTCTGAATTTTAAAAGGACTAGGGATGTAGCTCAGTGTGGAAGTCCTGCGTTCAATCACAGTACTGCAAAAGTAAGTTCGTACATAAATAAAAAAGAATCAGAGCTGAGACTGGCTTGTCAGTGCAGTGCAGGAGGGGTGGTGCCGGCTGCCTCTGGGGCCCATGCACATCTGGCCATTACGTAGGGAGCAGCATCACCTCTCGGGCTGCCCAGCCAGCTGAGGGAGGGTGGGCAGCAGGGCACACTTCCCTGCCTTTGGAAACTGGGACTAAAGCAGCAGAGGGAATAGTTCCAAGCAGGACCCAGGGGAGTGTGGCCTAGCAAGCTGTGGAGAACTCGGCCTGAGGTCAGAGCAAATGCCTGTCACCTGGCTTCCAGGCGCTATCAGAAAACAGCTGTGAAGAGCCCATCTAGATGCCCACGAGGAAGTCCCAAAACCCTGACCCAGTAGGTCCCCCTTGTGAATTCCCCCTAGACTGCTCACCCAGCCTTCTGCCTGCACGCCCACCCTAAGGTCGCTCCCTCTGTCTTCTCCCAGACTGGGCCCCTGCCTGGGCTTGCAACAAGTTTCTATGCTAAAGAAGGAAGAGCCTTGAATGTCCATTTAGACCCTATCCGGCACCCCTGGTGCATGCCACGTGGGCATCAGCTGGTGGAGCTTGGCTGAATCCGGGAGGGGAGAGACTTGCCTGGAATTCAAACACCCAGGAGGCTGGGTCAGCCCCTGGCCCTGGCCCTAGATGGCACCAGAGGGGCCAGAGAACAGCCAGGGTCAGCTGCAGGGTCAGGGTCCCTGGGGGCACCTCGAGCAGCTGCCTCTCCCAGTGCACAGCCCCACACAGCTCCTGGGCCCTCTTCCCAGACCTCCAGGGGCCCACTGCCTGTGCTGGGGACACATCTGTGAGCTCCGCCTTGGATCTGCCAGCCCCAAGGGAGGTGATCTCAGTGGGGGCCAAGCAGAGTCCTCAGGCTGTCGCTCTGCCACCTCCACCCCACCCCTCCCGTCTGCCCCAAAGAGCACACCAAAGGCTGTTTTCACTGAAGGTCTTATCCTGGTCACAGCATGGCTTCCCTCCAGCTACGTAATGCCTCTTCCAGGCAAGGAGCCAGTTGCTGCCTCCGTCACCTGCTGGCCCCAGGCGCCTGGAGGACAAGAGACACTTAGAGAGTGGCAGGTTGCCAGTAGCCGAGAGCTGAGCACTGGGCCTGCTTTCTGTTCAGTGTGGGGTTCAGGGACAGCACCACCCAGAGCCAGCCTCAGGGTACAGAGGTGTCCTCTTTCTGGAAACGTCTCTGTAACACAGCCCTGAAGCACTAGGAGGGCCACAAAGGAGATTTCAAAGCTGAGCCTCCTCCAAGCGGCCCATTGAGAAGCTCTGAAGGTGTCACCAAGTTCCCAAGATGTCCTGTCCTTGGGTGTCACAGGAGGAAGGGACCTGCACCTCCGTGTGCAGGTGGGGAGGGTATTCACCTCTGTGGCATGACAACCTTTCCTGTGTCCTTTCTGCCACCATAGCCCAACTATGGAAACCAGCAATATGGACCAAGCAGTCAGTTCCCCACCCAGCCAGGCCAGTACCCCACCCCGAACCCTCCGAGGCCACTCACCTCTCCAAGCTACCCGGGACAAAGAATGCCGAGCCAACCCAGCACTGGGCAGTACCCGCCCCCCACGGTCAACATGGGGCAGTATTACAAGGTGAGTTCCCCCTGGGGCCGCCGGGCCCCGCCTCCCTGCTACACGTGTGCTCAGCCTCACCTTGTCATTCGACCCTGCTGGTGGTCCCTGGTGACACCCAGGCCCAGGGGAATATGTCTGGTTTTCCCCTTTGTGCTCAGAGCGAAGTAGCCAGGAAGTCAGCCTGGCCATTCTCGGTTCCTATTCTTGTGGGGCTCAGAGAGTGGTTTCTCTTCTCCTTACCCGAGATAACAATAAAAGAAACACTTTGTTAGAGAAAAAGCGGCTGGCTTTTGAGTCTGGACGCTGCCTCAGCACGCAGGCGGGCGCCAATAGAAAGCTCTCATACAGCTGCAGACCGGACTCCGTTTTGTCTCTCACATTCCCTGAATTCGCACACGGCACTTGCTGCGTGTGTCTTTTCACTTCCAGGGCTGTCCAGTCCTGCGGAGGATTTGAACTGTTCTTGAGTTTTCACTTTTGAGATACTTTGATAAACATCTTCAGACACCTTGCCTTTTCCTACAGGTTTATTTAAAAAGACACTCTCAAGAGGAGAGTGGGTGTGGTGGCACACACTTGTAACCCCAGTACTTAGGAGGCTGAGGCAGAAGGCACCCTGTACATCTCAGGCCTGGGCTACGTAGTTCAAGGCCAGCCTGAACTATATTACAAGACTCTCGGGGCTGGGGAGATGGCTCAGTAGGATAAGCACTTGCCTGGCAAATGCAAGGGTCTGAGTTCAATCCCCGGTTCTGCAAAAAAAAAAAAAAAAAAAGACTACAAGACTCTGTCTCAAGACTCTATAGTGAAGAAATTTTATTATTTTTACATTTGCTTGTCAGAGAACCATACCAGCCTCATGACCATCTGCCGTGTGGCTTTACCGGTTTTGCTCTGGTGTCAGCGTGCTGGGCATTGCCAGTTTCTCTTGCTCAAGTCATAGCTATGGACAGAGAGGTGTAAAGCTGTCCCTGAAGAGTGAACAGCTCAGCCCTACATGTTCCCCCTGCCCCCCAGCCCTGTATTAAGCAAACCCCAGCATCCAGGAACTAGGCTTTGGGGCCTCCTACGCCCCTCCCAGCTCTGCCATCTTGTCTTGACAGCCAGAGCAGTTTAATGGCCAGAGCAGCACCTTCTCGGGAAGCAGTTACAGCAACTACAGCCAGGGCAGTGTCAACAGGGTATGTCCCTCCCCGGGTCTGTCACCAGCAGCCTTGCCCTTGGGCCTCTCTTCCTGCCTGTCCCAGCCTCTTTGGTGGGAGGGGGGTCCACAGATGGGGTCCTCTTCCTGCCTGTCCACTCTGGGGCACAGAGGGACCAAAGCTTAGAGGGTTAGTAAGCTGAGGACAAGGGTGAGTGGAGGCCTGAGGGAAAGGAGAAGGGCTCCTGAGAACAGGGACCCAGGGAGGGATCCAGGGGACACAGCCTTTGGCTGTGGTGCAGGGAGCCTGTCTGGTTGGTCCCTACTGTCCTGTCCTTCCCTGCCACCCTGAGTTTCAGTGCCCCATCTGTCAAGTGGGCCTCGAAATCTGCGTCCATCCAGTCCTGCAGTGTGCACCCAGACAGGGATAGGATCCCTGGGCCAGCTGGCCTCCCAAGGGGGAGTGGAGGCTTGCAGGAGCCAGTGGGTTTCCCCTGGCGAAGGTGGGGTGCACATTCGCAACCAGAGCCTCGCTCACCCCTGCCACGTCCTAACCTATCTGTGGTTTCTCTTTCCTCCAGCCTCCCAGGCCGGTTCCTGTGGCCAATTACCCCCACTCGCCTGTTCCAGGGAACCCCACGCCTCCCATGACCCCTGGGAGCAACATCCCCCCCTACCTGTCCCCCAGCCAAGATGTCAAACCACCCTTTCCGCCTGACATCAAGCCAAATATGAGTGCTCTGCCCCCGCCCCCAGGTAAGCTCTGCCCTGTCACCAGTTCAGTAGGAGCTGGGCTCTGGGGGACAGGGGGTTGGTAGCAGGGAGCCAGAGGCAGAGGAGTGGTACGTGGTCAGGGCGTGGCCTGGTGGCCCTGAAGGGCTCTGGGTACCCCTGGGTACAGCCCAGCTTCTGTGGCTCTGGCTCCCACCTCTGTGTCCCCTGAGCACGACGCCCAGGGCAGTGTGGCCGGCAGCACGAGGCTCACCCATGTCCCATTCCCAGCCAACCACAATGACGAGCTGCGACTCACGTTCCCGGTGCGGGACGGCGTGGTGCTGGAGCCCTTCCGCCTGGAGCACAACCTGGCCGTCAGCAACCACGTGTTCCACTTGCGGCCCACAGTGCACCAGACCCTGATGTGGAGGTGAGCATGGAGGGGGTCCTCGGAGGTGCCACCCACCCTGGGCCAGGTGTGGCCTTGCACAGGTGGTAGCAGCAGCCTTCTGTCACCTGCCCTGGGGATGGACCCACAGGCACAGGGAGGGACCAAGGGCTGGGGCTGCCCGCACTCGGCCCAGTCCTGAGTCACTGGGGACTCCCGGGAGGATAAGGTGCCAGCTTGCCTGCAAGGCTGAGAAGGAGGGCGTCCTGGGAGAGATCCTGCACTGGCAAGGGAGAAAGCGATGAACAATATGCACATGGCATAGACAGGAGGCTGGCAGAGGACGGTGGAGCTGGGCCAGCAGCACGCACTGGACCTAGAGCTCCCTCCTGGGCAGGCACGCACTGGACCTAGAGCTCCCTCCTGGGCTAGACCTGGCTGGACCTTGGTGCCAGGCAATGCTTTCTCCCCGTGACAAACCAGGAAGCCAGGGCCAGTGAGATAGCTCAGTGGTCTAGAGCGCCTACCTAGGCAAGTTTAGGCAAAGTACAGGGACCGCAGTTCAATCCCAGGCACCACAGGCCGCAGTAGCCCCGCCTCCAGGGTGGGCTAAACTGGCCACAAAAACAAACAGGAAGCTGAGGCTAGAGGATGAATCACACGTGTGATTCTCTTCGGTGCGTACAGGCAAGGTGCAGCCTGTGTCTTTCTGGCCAGCACCAACTTGTGGTGTCTCCCTGCTGAGTGCTTTGTGCCTGGACAGGCTGCCTGACACTGTCACCCCTTGCCTGGGACTAGAGTCCCCCCAGTGGCTCCGGGAGCACCCTGAGGGCTCTGGCACAGGCACACTTAGGCACACTCTGGCACAGATTCACATTCCTGAGCCAGCCACTGAGGGAGCCAGGGACTCAAATCTGGGAAGGTTTCAGAACACAGGATGCTTAGGCTGGGGGACTTCTGGCAGGGCACAGAGCTAGGCTGGGGTGCTGCTAGCTCCTGCACCTTACCAGGAGAGGCTGCTGCCTCACCAGGGCTCCAGTTGGCACACAGCATCTATCTCTGTCCCTGGGGGGCTGTCACCCTGGTAGCAGGGGCATCAGGGAGGCTGCAACTAGAACCAGGACTTCAGTAGGAGTGTTGGAAGATGAAGCAGGGAAGGGCCATGGGGCACAAGTGTGGGGGCCTCCAGTGAAGCTGAGCCCCGACCCACCCCCTCCCCCATGCCACCCCCAGGTCCGACCTGGAGCTGCAGTTCAAGTGCTACCACCATGAGGACCGGCAGATGAACACCAACTGGCCGGCCTCGGTGCAGGTCAGCGTCAATGCCACGCCGCTCACCATCGAGCGAGGGGACAACAAGACCTCGCACAAGCCACTGCACCTCAAGCATGTGTGCCAGCCGGGCCGCAACACCATCCAGATCACGGTCACCGCCTGCTGCTGCGTGAGTATGGCCGCACTGGGGCAGGGATGCCTGCAAGGCCTTGGGGCCTCAGGGTCCATGCCTGTCCAGCCCCAGCCATGTCCTAGGTTGCTATCCCTTATGCTCCAGGCCCCTAGGTGATCAAAGCTTTAGCCCCACCCATCCTCACAAGGGACTTTACTCAAGCCCCACTCCCAGTAGCCACCCATGTCTTTCATTGGTAGAGCACTATGTCCGTCAAAGTGCCTGCAATTTTTGTTTTGCCTCCAGTTTCCTCCACACCCACCTCTGCTACACCAAGGGCTTTGTCACCCAGCCCTATTGGCTTCAAGGTGTGTGCACACACATTTGTGTGTGCATAGTCCTCTGCCACTCACAGTTGAGCCTGTCCCTTGAGATCAGGCGCTGGCACACAGGGGTTCCTGGGGAAACTTGCATGGGAATGATTTGCTTGGCCATTCCCCAGAGGACCCAGGATAAGGAAGTGTTCTCTGCTGAGGCTGCGGTGACTGACGTCACCAGAGCAGGAGTGTCGTTCAAGACTGTGCAGCCAGGGTTGCTGGGGTGCAATCCCGGAAGGCTTCCTGGAGGAGGGGTTGCAGGGATGCGCCATTCATGGGGAAGGGCTGAAGACTCCTGCACAGAGATAGGGGAGGATTAGAAGTATGCTAGGTTCTACCCTTCTCTACTGCTGGTGGGAATGTAGACTGGTGCAACCATTATGGAAATCAGTGTGGAGACTCCTTAGAGAAGTTGGACTGGAAATCCCATTTAAACCAGCTATTCCTCTACTGGGAATTTTCCTGCAGGATCTGAAAACATCATATCATAGTGATATATGTGTGCCTATGTTTATAGCAGCACCATTTGTGATAGCCAAATCTTGGGAACAACCAAGATGCCCATCACCTGAGGAATGGTTGAAAAAGATGTGGTATTTTTACACAATGGAG